TCACGAGGTGCGGTAGTTTCTCTGGCCCTGCCACCTCTCCCTGCTTAGCATCTGAGAGACGCCGTAGTGGAGGGCTCCGGAAATTTAGATCACCTGGGGGTTCTTTAACGTGCACCCAAATCTGAGCACACGAACCTCCTTCATTTCCGCCTCCATCGGAAACGCAGCCGCCGCAGCCGGGATTCGAACCCGCGACCAGCGGGTCAGCAGCCGAGTACCTTAGCCACTAGACCACCGCGGCGGGGCAATCGAGCGCTTTCGTCCGGACGAGAGAAGAGATAATGCAATTGCAGCATGCGACAAACCTTTGTAACTACACTTGCACTGGACGAATTCTTAAAATTTTTGCGGCGTTGAATTCGTGAGTCAATAAGCTCTTCTAGTAAATTCATTCCATGGTTACTTGAAAAAGTGTTTCAGGTCCCCTTTAACGCATTTTGTTTCGACAGGTGTCACGACGAAAATAAGCCCATTCGTCGATAATAGCGTGCGCAGGTCCGATCTATTGTATGCGTGTTTGTGTGCGTGCGTGTGTATGTAACAAAACATATGAATAACTATGCACTTAGCGGTTGAAGGGTGAACAAGGGGCCGGATTTTGCCATCGCGTTAAACTGTTAAAGGCGAAGCTTAAGGGTCCTCCAATTTTTTCATCTTCTAATATAAGCGTCAGTTCCACCGCAAACGCGGCGTAATGAATCCGACAGCGAGAAACTGAAATGCCACACGAACGACAAGCAGTTAGAAACTAGCAGGCGCATAAAGGCTACTCGAAAAGAGCACACAGGACAAGTGCTAATAACAAATGTCAAGAAATAACAAATGTCAAGAATTCATTGATCAAGAAATCAATGAATTTTTTTTTTCAGTAACGGAAGGGGGGTGGGAGGCTAGCACACCCCCTCCACATGACTTCGAGCCTGACGCGTACATGTACACGTGCTACTAAAACAGCGAACTCAATTACCAGACAGATTGGTGCAATGGGCAAGCGCTCAAAAACAACCAACCCTTGGCCCCATGTATAACAACTCCATCCTCACTTTTCACATTGCACCACAATTTTTACATATAGCTATTAGGAACAGCTTACAAGCCTAATGAACAGCTTTTTCTCTGTGACTGCCTCGACATGCACTGACTTTGTTGCTCGGAAATTTGTAAATTTGTATAAGCGGCTACAGGATAGATTTTGTTTTAATTATGCAACAACCTATACCCAGAAGAAAGGATGGGTAGTACTTCTGTACTTGTGGTTCAAACATCTTGCAAAGGCTTCATGCAAACTGCAAAAAAAAAAAAAAAGCCATGAAAAGTGTGAGGCCCAGGTTATAGTGATATGGTAACCACAAGGTCAACAATGCACAATTGCAGCTACATAAATCTACGACATGTATCATAGAGGTGGTAGACAAAACTGTTTTCAAAATGCAAGGGCACTTTTGGCTGAAAAAATTAGGGATCCTCACACCCTTTAACAGTTGAACGAGAGAGATATCCAGTCCCTAGTGTGTACTTCAACCACTTAGTGCATAGTTTTTATTGTACAAATGATGTTACTCGAGAAGTTTAAATTGTGGCTTACTACAATGTAATCAAAGTTGAAAGTGGCTTGTGCCAGAAAAGTTTTCGCATATGGCTGCATTGTGTGTAATGGGCAGCGTACTATTGACCACGCGCAATGATGCGCGTGACATTCTTTCGAACTTGCTATGATCATAAAAAAAGAAAATTGCCACAATGTGTAAACGTTGTGTTCTACTGAACTTCTATAGGAAAACAAGAGACATTTCTCCTCACCCTTTCAGTTTTCACTCCACTCATTGCTTGGTTACAGCAAGGCACGTCAGCACAGAAATGGGCGTTGAACTCTGCTCTAAACTGTTTGAAATCTGCCTCTTACATGTTACCAAAGAACATCTGTATCAGTGTGCCTCGATTAGAGTAGCCATTCTTAAAAAAGAATGATGCTGCCACAATACTATTTTTTTTTTCTGCCCCGCGTCTCTCAGCGGAGTTATAGCAGAGCCACCTTAGAGCGGTGAGATGCCAGCAAGGCGCCGTGCAAAGGCATTGCGCTGTGGGATCAAATATGGCAGCTGCTCCACAGTTAACACTGCAGATGTCCTAACCCTAAAGTGGAGAAAACGTGCATCAAAGCACCCTAATCTATATGTTACTGTGCTGCCCTCTGCCGGTCGGGTAGGGCTCCGGTATGGTGGCGGACAACCGGCCAAAGCAAAAGCCGTCCCCCCTCCCCCCTTCTAGATCAGGAGGCGCTTTGCAATTTTTTTGCTAGGACTTGGGCGCATGCACCGTCGCATTGTGAAAAAGGCAGATTGCCACTATGCACAGTGCAAGCTTACACGAGCTGATATTGGCAACTAAGGTCCCATTTCAAGGCTCTTGTAGTAATCGTAGCATGTTAAGTGCTCGCTTTCATATATGGCAGCCTGCTGCACACTGTAGTTACAGATGCCAATGACATGACTAAAGTGTTTAATGCAGACTTTGTTAAAAAAATAAGCCAGTCCATTGCCCATGAAGACACAAATATTTGCTTTCCATCTCTTTTTATTGTACTGTGTAAAACAAAAATAGCATCTCACTTCCAACATTCCTGCCAGAGAAAGAACAGAAAAGAAAAGACACAAAAAAGGCTAACCTCTTTTAAAACGTGCGCACAGTGTGCGCGCACACAGCGGCATGTGCAGAGCTGGGAAGCCCTATTGTGCAGTTCAGTTGCAGTCCTTGCGTGGCAACCGTATACAAAAAAAAAAGGTATTACAGATGGCTACAAACACAAAATAACATGCCAGAAGGCTCAACAACCAATATCCAGCCAACCCATCCCTCGGTTAAAAGGAAGTCACAGAAAAATGAAACACACGACTACTTGCACAGCATCTTCCATCTACATGCATGATATCTCACCGGTTCTGCATCAGTTCGGATGTCAAGTTTTATGAGTCAGTGACAAAAGCAGCACAAAGTGTGGCCACCAGCTTTGGTGAAGGATAGATTGACTAAAAACGCAGCACTGTCAGGACTCAATTACGATAGCAAATCATGGCACTCAGGACAGCACTGGTAAAGCACACATGAGGAAAAAAAAATTATGACAAAAATAGTGCAAAACGACAGCAACTTTTCGCATTTCTGACTCTCGCAGCTCCTGATGATCATCACTCGATAGAACCTGGTTAACAAATACTGAAGACATGCACCTCCCAAAAAAGAAAATCAGCTTATCACCTTCGAGCTGCCACTGCAACCTTTCTGAAAACTTGTATAGTAGAGTCGCTGAGATACTAGTACACTTCATGGATTGTTTTCACAACTTCATTCCTACTGTTGAAGAATCTCAGCTGGCCCAACCGAAGAGACTGTTGATTAGGTAGCAATCATATCATCCTTTTAAGGTAAAAAAACAACAACACGACCTAGCATGTCTCTTCATGGAGTTGAGCTGGTAAACAGTGTAGTCTGCTCTTAACATATTATGTCCTCACTCCACAAAAAAAAAAAGAACTACAGGTGTTGCTCCGTGTCACCTGAATCTATGTCAACATCTTAGGAATCAAAGCATATGAGGCCCACCACTGTATATGGTATCTGCTGCTCTGCATAATAATGGTTACTTAAGTGAAAAAAGATATGACATGAAAATGTTCAATCACTAATATATTCAAAGCACTGCAAAGTAATTTTCGACAAAGCTTGAGTGATACAAAAGCTTTGTGACAATGAGATTCAAGTTCTTTAGTGGCAACCACAAAGAAAGCATTTCCAGTGCTGCTTGTGTAGCATAATACGAGCATTGATTGATTAATATGTGAGGTTTAACGCTCCGAAACCACCATATGACTTAGAGAGACGCTGTAGTGGAGGGCTCCGGAAATTTCGACCACCTGGGGTTCTTTAAAGTGCACTCAAATCTGAGCACATGGGCCTACAGCATTTCCGCCTCCATCGCGATACAAGCATTGGTACGTCCATTTTATGGTGTGAAAAAAGTGCTGCTTTCGAACCGTAACATGTGCTATGGAGCATTTGTTTTTTTCACCGGTAACAGCACGTAACACATTTTAGCAGAAATTACAGCATGTTGACATCTACTACATAAAATGGAAGCACCAAGTCTGGGCAACACAATGATGAAAAAATGTTGGAAACAGGTTCAGTGCAACTGCTACTCACATTTACCAACAATAAGTGTAAGCAAAGCATGTGTGCTCCATGAAGTGGATCCAAGTAACAAAGTAAACGCTGACAACAAAGTCACTTTAGTACTTCATGCAGCTGCTAGAACTGCAAGACATTTAGCTTTCCCTTGCAGTGGTGTCATGCTAGGCTTAATCCGTGTGCAGCATACAATAAAACCATTCATTGAAAACTGAACTTGTACCACTGGTGTATATTAAGATGACTATCCACTGACACAATTAGTAATTCGCAATTGAGGGTAATTTTCAAGTAAACTTAAATAAAAAAGACGATTTCTTCTTTCTTTGAAAAACTTGCAAAAATGAAAAGCTTTTTCAGCTATTGTTGCCTCAGAGCCAGGCTTCCCACAAACAATAGATGATTGGAATAAACTAACCAAAGCATTTCCTCAACGCCCTTGACCATTTGTGTAAATAGTGGTAGTGATTAGAATGAAGAGGAAAAAGGCACCTAATTTCTGTCTGCCTTCAGGCGACACGGCGCAGTGCCTTATAGGGGTGGGGGGAAGGAGGGATAAAAAGAATAGAAGGAAAGTAGAAGCAGAAGAAGACAGCCAACGAGAGGAAAAAAGAAGGAGATAGGAAAGTGGGGATCCGGTCGAAGCAGTCCAAGGGCGGGGTGCCACAATGCGAGAGCTACACGGCGTCAGGAGACCGCGGAGGGCGAACCAGTCGGCGGGAGCTACGCTGAAGTCGGAGATCGCATTCCCATTTGTGTAAATACTATTTTTCCATGACTTCCTTAGAATTGTATTATCACCTTGTTGTTCAATGGTTACTTTTTTTTTAAAGTCTTAACCCCTCGGTCTTATATGTAAAGAAATTGTGTAAAAAACGCTTTGCAACCTTGTTTCATTCTGTTATTTCGTGTGTTTCATGTATGCTCACCCTGCTTGGACTTTTTGTCCGCAGTATTCTACAAATACAAATAAATAACAAATAAAATAATTGGGTGTACATTTGCAATGCAATTTAAACAAGGCTTAGGAATGAAATGCTGAAACTCTCCAAACATGATGGCATGTGCGAAAGCAGCTACTGTCTTTACTGTGAGAGAGGATGCTGTAGGCTCATCTACACCCTCACATTTTTCTTTTCTGCAACACTCCAGCGGGTCGCGGTGTTTGGCTCGGCAGACAAGCAACGTAAAAAGATTAGATGGTGTCGTCGCCATACAACTATGGTGAGGGAGGCTGCTGCGCAAGCCTTCCCACATGTGCAGTGGCGATTCAGTGTACTACCTACCAAGCTGACATTCTCGTAACACACTGAATTTCGTTACAGCGTGATAGTTAGATGGTGCTCTGGTATCACTCTATTTGCAGCATGAAGCTGAACTCTTTAGCTCCTAATAATAATTAGCATTACATATTTCTATCTCTTGTACGAATATTGCCAGAAATAGGGAATAGTACTCATCAATGAAACACATAATGACTTTGCTAGGCTAGCTTAAAGCAAATGGCATTTGTAAGCTCTTTCTAGGCCTTGCAGTTTCGCCTTCATTAATTCGTTGCCTTAGAGAGGTAAAATTACTTCAGTCTTTTATGGTAACAGAAAAGCAGCACATGAAACTAGATGTAGTGAATTGCCAAATAACGTGCAAAGGTTTCAAACAACATAGCGGAGGAGAATTCCATGCAATTTGTGGAGTGCAAAGTTTAACTAGATCTGAAAATGCACTCAACCTGCTGAACTTTTAACAATGAAGATTGATGACGTGCATTTCCAGCAAACAATGGTGCTCTTAGACACTCTAGCTTCTTCCATAAAGTACTGCAATCCTTTTACTTTAAGACACAGGACCTAATGGATAATATATCTTGTCAGAAATGGCTCAATTTTAATTTGACAGGTCATCTGGATTTAAGATCTATTTCACACGGTACAAATGTTCTATTACGTAAAATGTAAAAAAAAAAAAGCTATTCTGCTACATCAGGTTCAAATAACCATAGTTTAAGTGTTTACTGGCTGCGCACAATTTTACTGCCCTCTCCCACATCAGTTACGGCTGTTATTATTTAACGAGTCCAAATTATGAGCTTGTTGGCTCTCAGCAGCTATATTTCTTTTAACAAGCAAATAAAAAACTTCAGTGGCCAGCAGCCAATGGGGTCTTTGTTGCAGATTTATGCTATGATTCAGAACATACGCAAAGAGCAACTCAGATATGCTGCAGAAAATACATTTTGATAATCTGCATAATGTCCAAGCTGTATTACAACTTCTGGCTGCCTTCCTCTGCTACTCTCTTCAGCACGCCTCAGAAACAACAAAACAAGGTGAGGGGGCTAGTCAAGCACCTAAAGATTAATACTTCTACGCAAAAGAAATCTGAATCCCCAAACACGCAAAATTCAAAACTCAGCATCACTCTGACCACCTTCGACACATCATTCGATCTCACAGCAGGAAAAAAAATGTGAAATGTAAAAAACAACTTTCTAGGACCAACTGTCCTTAACAAGCAGGAAGTTACGCGAGGGAAGGGGCAATCGAAACAGGGGAATCGGGTATCCTGCAAGTAAAAAAAAGCATAAAAAAAAAAATGACCGAACAAACGACGAACAGCAAACGTCAACAGCAACGCTGTCATATATATATATATATAGTATTTATAATATTTATATATTTATATGTATACATATATATATATATTTGTATAGCATCTGTATAAAAAGATCTCCACTCTTCATAGCTTTTTTTTTTTTCCTCGTAATCCTTTGTTATATTCATCCACTTCTCTGCAAATCTCTACTGTACACATGTGAAGCAAGCTCAAACTCTTTTTTACACTCTACGTGTTGAAAGCAACTGGGAATGAGACAAGGAGGAAGGGGGGGGGGGGGGGGTTTGCGAAGTCTTCACTAATGTCTTGGGAAGTGGCAATCTAGAGTTTTTTTTTTTCTACAACAAAATTCAACAAAAGCTGAAGTGGAGTAGCTTGCTACCATGACTAAGATGAAAGAAAACAAAAGCATCAATAGATGGAATAAATTAAAACAATACCAAGCAATGCTAGCACTTTACGACACTTTATCTCTCTACTACTTAACAGCCTTCCTTAACAAAAAATAAATAGAAAAACAATGAAGTGTTCCTCGCAGAACACTCAGAAAAGTTCCTGTTCAGCCAGAGTACTGCAATAATGTGTGATGGCCTGTTATATGTGCTCATAAGCCATCATAAAAAGTTACTGTACATTATTCCAACTTCAAGAAGATATCCTACTTGTTCTTGCATATACGTACTGGTTTGTAGAAAAGAAAGATCTTCAATCCATCCGTTATTACCAAAAAGATACGACAGAGATGAAACATCCAGGTGCTTACAGCTAGTTCTTGCTTGTGCCACTAATGCACCAAATTGAAATTCGGTCACTGACTGATAAGAAAATCAAAGGTCGTTGCTTGCATTTACACACTGCAGAGCATCGAGAAAAATGCTTTAAACACATTTCTGCAGAGTTGATCTCATAAAAGTACGATTTTTGCTTCCAAGATATCATTTTCTCACACATTCATTAAAATACCTTTGTAATCACCATAATGTAAAATAATCACATTATCACACATATTCTGCGATGGAACTTTGTGACACAGTACCTTAGTTCATTTTGCCCTATCTTGCTGTCACAGTGAGCCTCTGCCTACGCTTAATTAAAGCTGCGCAACTCTGCGCACGTGGCAACTACAAAGGGTTGGCAATAAATCAATCAGCACCCACGCATTCTAATGCAACTTCACCAGCCTCAAAGCACCGTAGTTCCTCTCCCAAGACATTAACGAATACTCCTCAAGGCAAACAGTACAGTCGCCAAGGGTTACACCGGTAGGAGAAAAACAATGAATGGCTCGGAGCTAAACATGTAAAAATGAAAAGCAGTGAAATGTGCAGGAAATTAAACTGCACCGGTATTGTGCGTGAACCATCACACTTGGCATGAGCTCTAAAATGCCACAAGCAGAGGCTAGAGAGCATGCATTCCAAGAGGGACAGTGGCACCAATCCTGACATCGCACGCAAATGCTGCAGCGAGAACAGCAAGAGTTTCAAGTTTCCGTTATCACGTCTCAATTTCAATTTTCTTGCTGCCCTTATGGAGCTTCATGTCTTTACTCTTGATACTACTACTACTACTACTACTACTATATTTCTGTTGAGTTGGTGCCGTTGAACACACTTCCACGTACTGGCCTCCTCCCAATGCAGCTACAATATGAGGTTATTCAAGCTACAGGCAGCATGAGGAAGTTACGGAACTTTTTGCAGTTCTAGCATGACAGCTTTTTGTAGGTAGCATGACAGCCAGAGGAGATAGGCCTTCCCTCGAATCACAACCGTTCTTCTGACATTAGTCAGTCTGTTGCAAGCATTAAGTATGTCAAGGGTGAAGCTGGTAGACCAAGTACGAACGTGGCTCTTAAGCCTCACTCGAGCAATGAAAGAGTTTGCAGAACTAGTCCAAAACGTGCCAAAATCGGTGCCACCATACAACTCCAAACATGCCTTAGCTTGTGCTTGGGCATTCTAGCTCACATTGAGTAGACATAAGTTGATGATAGTAGCAACAACAAGTGGTGGTGCGATGGTCAAGGTAGAACGGTGCCAGTCTGTCGGTCCAGTTCCATCATAGCTTCCTGAATGGCATTTTCCAGGTTGCCATTCAGCTTGCGACCCCTGGGCAGAAGGTGGTGAAAATGCTGTTTTTATTGTAAATCGAGAATCATGAGAAAAGAAGAAAGACCAGTAGGTTAGTGAGTGAGTACTACAACCCTAATGGCAAAATGCAATTGGGGAGGATATTTAAATTTTTTTTGTGTGTGTCTTTTTATAATTAAAAGAAGGCAAGACGTAATCATAATCTACTTTTGAGCCACTCGTTCAGTTTCTATAAAACCTGTTTGTAGCAACAATATATAAAGTGATCTTTAGAGCATTTTTGGAGAAACAAAATATTGCCTTTAGAAGACAAAAATGCAGCTGGTTACGACAAATAGAAACACCATTTTTTATTATGAAATCACAAGTTAAAAGCGGCATAACAAAAAAAGGCTTGCTTTCAGAAAATAAAAGAATAAATTGTGTATATAAGCTAACCCATGCATAGTGCAAGCGGGCGCTGCTCTTTTATTAAAAACAATGTGTTGACAGAGCAAACAATGACAAACACCATATTAGCATCTGGCGCACCTGTCAAATATAATTTGAAAGGCACAGCAGACGCTATCGTGAACCTGCGAACCTGGCATCCTTGAAAATGAGAAGATTCGTAAAACGGAAGATAGTTGAGGTGGTGAAAAAATAAAACTGGCATACATTCTTGTTTGTCATTTCTCAGGGCCACAAAAACTTCATGCACAGCTCTGAATGATTGGCAGCAATTTTTAGACGTCGGACACTCCTAGCAGTACTTGTAATATTATGACACAAGCGTGCATGAGTAATTGAGGAGCAAAGTATGCTGCATTCTTTTTTTCACAAAAAACCAGTGCACCGAGGCAATAGTGGCTTCAAGAAGCATTCTGCATACAATAGAGCAAAACCAGAAAAATTTTATTGTGGTCCCTTCTTCTCTTTTGCAATGCAGTTAGTGTTAGGTCTGCACGTTTAGATTGAATTGGATGATGATGCCTGAACTGCACATGGTCAACACGGTTGGCATTTCTTGCTAAAATTACTACAAGTGAGAAAATTCTTAGGCTATCAGGGTATTCTGGCACAGCTAGGTACAAAAATAAGAAATTGTATCAAATTGGTGCAACCGGTGCTGCTGTTGCACCCTTGCATGTTTTATAGCCTTAAGAAGGACAAGGTTAAGCAAATTTATATCTATATTTTTGCATACATGACTTGATTAACAAAAATGTTGCATGTGTATAATTGCTAAATTTTTACTTGCAGCTTGAATTATGATTTTTAAGCTCTCAGTAAAAAAAAAGTAAATATTACAAATACTGTAACAAGTGAAGTTAACATCTTATTCACAGAAAACCCAAGTTATCTTATTCCAACATACTTGTGTAAGTCTGCTAGCATTAAATCAATATAGGCAGCCTGTTAAGCTTTCTGGCTATAGACAATTTTCTACATGAAGAAAAGCCTGTCCTCCAAAGCATTTTCATGTCGGGACAGCCATAAAAAATGTAAAAAGTTTCTGCAACAAGCACCGTGAAATAACATTTCCTTTTCGTCTACACTTTGATCTTCTTGTGAAAGCTAGAGAATGATTCAAAAAGTGTTCATTGGCCTCTCTCTCTATGATAAATGCATTTTAATCCATTTCACACTTCTCGACTTCTTAAGGTACATGCATGTTTCTCAAACTGCTGCAGAAATAAAAAGGGACACTAAAGGCAAATAATAAGTCCATGTTGTTTGTTTAAATAGTGGTCCAGAAACTTTGTGGTGCTAGTTTTGTGTCAAGGAAGTGCTTATTTTGAATTAAAGTCTCATTTTAATGGTCTGCATCCCATTAGCGCCCTTCAAATTCCCCGTGTGGCAGAGGACTCTTGGATGTCACTGTTTTCGTGCCCAAGGTTACCCGCCTTTACTAAGTGGCTGCCGACACCATAGCAGCAAAGCAAAACTAGCAGAAGCCACAGCAGCAACAATGACTATTGAACAATTCCCTGCAATCTCATCGGCATGATTCCGCTTTCTTGGTTAAACTGGACCCTGCTAAACAGCACCATATATCTAGCCTTACCAGCCAAAAACTGAACTTTTGAACCACTTGCCCCACTCCTAATAGTAATGCTAGGCGGTTCTTTTTTCTATAAGTCAAATAAAAATGGACAAGCAGCATTTTATAACATCTCTTGATCCATGGAAAGTTCTTTTTTTATTGCAGTGGGTCTGATTACCAATACTAGTGATTAATTGTAGGCGGACGAGGACATCGCATGATGCTCTGCGGACGACGGTTCCTAGAAGCCTAGCCCGGGCCAGTGATTCTTCGTTGGATTGTAATAAAGTTTAGTACATCCCTACCACTCTCACATCATCATGATCATTTCGCCAATGTCTCCCTCGTGGCACACGTCGTGTGATGCATCTAGCTCAACTTTTTTGCAAGTAAGGCACTGCTATTGATAATATTGCCATTTCGAATGTTGTCATACATTCAGCTTTCACTCTGACATAAATTGTTATTTGCTTTTACGTCCCCTTTCTTTAATCAGTATGAATAACCTCCATGTGCTCATGTCTGAAGTTTAGCGTGTATATAACATGGACATGTGTGCAAGCAGTTAATACTGTTTAGGAAACCACATTATTTGGGGATCAGTGGCTGACTGAAGAAGTTTGGATTAAGAAAACATAGTAGGGTATACCACGTACACACACCTGCGGTGCTTCTTGCGAGCTCTGTGGTGTGCCTCAAGACCCTCAGACAAGGTCTTCAGTTGGTCTGGCTCCACTTGGGTGAAACTGTGATCACCAAACCACTGCACCCAGAGCTGTCCACATGCACATGTTAGAGAGAGAGATAACATATTGCAGGTTGAGAATTACTGACCAGACGATAGTATGCTGCAGAATATTTAGGACTGCTTTGGTTGGCTTTATTTAAAACAAGAAAAGCACAAACAAATAAAAAAAATGTTGCTTCCTTTCTTCCTGAAATCTATGCATAATGTTATGCCAGCTTAACCAGTTAGTGTGCACAAACAAGCTTAGCAACAAACTACGCGAGACACAACTTAAAAGCACTTCACAACAAAGAAAATCAAGGTAGTATGCTGAAGACATTCTTTAACAGCAACTGAAAAACTGTCCATTTCACCTCTTAATTGTGAACAAAGCTCTCATGTATTTCAGCTCAAATGTCCTTTCATTTCCAAATTTCTACAGCTGCTGCACAATTTTAAGCTACATACTTTCACTGTTCCCTCCTGATCGACACATTTCCAACAAACCTTCTATCCGATTTCAAGCAATGAAACTAAGCAGCCCTAATATCAAATTAAAATGTTCTCTGAGGAGATTTGCACGTAAGTATTCATATTTTTGCAAACCTCTTGTGTCGTTAGAAGTCCTTAATGTAAATGTTTATTGTATATTACATTCAAATGATATAAATGAAAGTATAATGCAGAGAAGTAGAGAAGGCAGCAATTTTCTATTATTGCTTCAAAGCCTTTCCAGAGCTCTTCAAAAGAAAGAGACAGACAACACAGAAAATCAAAATGTAAGGTTCCAACCTTGCCGTCCTCAGAGATGATATGGTGGCCCCGCACTTGGTCTGGTCGCACCAACTTGCCTGGCCATGAGGGAAAGCCTTTGCTCTGACCCCACACCAGGTCCCCAATGTCAAACGTGCGTGGTTGTGGAGGCAGTGGGGGAGATTCTCGCTCATCCTCTGCTTTCAATGAGAAACCACGCAGAACTTCAAGTGACAAGCATCAAGCGAAGGTGCAGTAAAGATGCATGCAAGGATCCACGACATTTTCTTAACAGTCTGAAAAAATTCTAAAAAAGAACACATTGTTTCTTTTTTGCAATTTATCACTGTAGACATTTGGTGGAAGACCCCTATTCCAACCTCTTTGACTTTCCACTTTTTTGCACTATACATCTGACGGTACATCTGGCGGTGTGGATTGCGACCATGAAGAATTATAATTCTTCATGGTCCACGCTGTTTACAGAGATGGAAAGACTTGACCACATTACTACTACAACAAAAGAAAAATCTTCAGCAACCTCTAGGCAAAACGCTTTGAAAAAAGGCAAAACTGGCAAATACATCTCCTGTCAAGCCAGACAAGAGGAATTTTTTTCCCTTAAAATAGGCATAACAAATGTGCACATATTGGCATCACCATTTGTAAACTTACCAGCCGAGTCATCTCTGAACTCATCCTGGGTGAAGGTAAAGCAGTTCCTCGCCTTCTACGCTTGGGGTCCTTCTTGGCCTTCTGCTTCATACACTACTGATATCATCACCCTCTAATGATTCTGCACAGGTCACGTTTGTCCGTTGTAACTCATGACTCGAATCTACACCTGAATCCCCACTACTGCTTGTCCCGCCCAGGGAAGGCTGTCCTTCTTCTACCAGAGTCTCCTCACCGGCACACTCATTCTGCCGCGGCTGCACATGGCTCGAGTCCACCGAAGAGGCACAGCCAGGGTCGTCACTTGTTCCTGTGCTGGACGATATGTGGCCTTCTTGTTCAGTTCCACAAGCTGTCCACTCAAAGCGCACCCGACTCACTTCGTGCATCGATCCTGTGTGGATGGGAACCGTGGACGAGACTGACGGGCTGCCTTCGCCTGCTTCGACGGGATGCTTTGCACCCCGACACTGTGCACATGTGTAAAGTCATTTTCAGAAGACACCGGAACATCCTCACACTCGTACACCGGAACAGCATTCATGTGCGCTGGAAAGTCTTCAGTGCCAGGCCTTGGCAAATGCTCATCGGTCTCTTCTTCGCTGGTTGATTGGTTGGACTCGGTTTCTGTTGTTGCTGTTGTAAAAGCCAATTCGTCATTGAGGAACCCTGTCTTGCACTCCTCGACCGGCAGCTCTCTTTCATCCTCGAAACACATTGCTGGAGCACAAAGCTCTACACCTGAGCTGTCATCCGGATTTGCTGTCCCACCATGCTGCATAACTACTGATTCTAGCAAAGGTTCTATAGGTGCCACAGGTGTAACAAGCTTGTGCTGGTCGGAAACCATTTGTTGTGGCGACGGTAGCGGAGGAGATGGCTGCGGTGTTAACTGTGAATCAACTTGTGGATGCAACTGGGGTTGCAACTTTCGCTGTGTCTGTGGCCGTGGCTGCAAAGGGCGCTGAAGCTGAAGTTGAGGCTGTGGGTGAGGCTGAAGCTGAGGTTGTGGCTGCAGATGAGGCTTTGGTTGTAGTTGAGGCTGTGGCTGCAATTGAGGCTGTGGCTGTAGTTGAGGCTGTGGCTGCAGTTGAGGCTGTGGCTGCAATTGAGGCTGTGGCTGTAGTTGAGGCTGTGGCTGCAGTTGAGGCTGTGGCTGCAGCTGAGGCTGTGGCTGCAATTGAGGCTGTGGATGCAGCTGCTGCTGCGTTTGTTGTATGGTTGGGCAGGGCTCCTGCAGCACAGTGATGGATTGCGGCTGTGCAGTGACAACATTGTGCATAGGCATGCCCAGCAGACCCAGGGATGGCATCATGCCCATGACCAGCTGTGGGTGGTTCACAGAAGGCAGGGTTCCATAGTTGAGCAGGGGACCCGACTGGACCATGGGAGTTTGCCCAGCTGGAAATACTGTCACTGTAGGCAGACCTGCCTGTTGCAGACCTGCCTGTTGCAGACTTGAAACCGTCAGGCTCAGCATATTCACTGGCCCCCGGCCCACCTCTGCCACTCCACACTTGGCCTTGGAAGTACAATCATCCTGAAAAAAAAAAATACACATGCGATCGCTAGTCAGCGTGTGAGTTAGTCGCAATTTCTGCATCAATGGAAGCAAGGTAACACGCAAACAGCAATTGTCCTAAATTTTCAAGAAAAAGGAAAGCACTAAACATAAACAATCATGGTAATACATACACAAGTATCTGGATGTCACTTTAGGTAACATAAAATAAGAATACTGCTATTTAATACATCCTCTTCAAGAAAACAAGGGCACTTGCACATCTATAAATAGGTGCTATGTCCTCACAAGATCAAAAACGAATCACATAGACTGTGTTACAGCAGTGTAAAATGTTCCTATAAAACTCAGACTCAAAGTTGCTTGTAGGTTTGTGAATTTTCACAGCATTTCCCTAAATGTAACTTAAACTTTCTCTGGCATGTACAAACTAGAATACTGTTCCTAATCATGTTAGTTAAACCACATATATTTGTAGCCAGTGCTTCACTGATGCAGGGTATCACATTCACTGATGCAGGCTATTCCAGCTATACAAAAAAGCTCACTAAGTATGCTTTATTGAAAAACTATTTTCATATTTCAAACTATTATAAAGCAAGGGCCAAACACCACAACATGTCTGGATTAGGGTGCACAAAATATAAAAGCATGTGTATTTGGCCAATTTCTTCCGATGAAACTAATAATTTGTTTCATGAATTAGGTGCTCCTGTACTTCTTAATAACACTGAATAGTGAGAAAAATTGGAGATATACACAGGTTAAGGCACATCCAAACTGCTCACACACATGATGAAATTAGTCAGGACGAAGCACACAATAGATGTTTACATACTAATCGCTCAGTTTGCACCACATGAACTAACCTTTACTTCAAAAATGTCTTGACATCTTTATGAAAAACCAAGAGCATAGTGCCAGTTGTTATTTTTTCAAAGAACATTCCTACAGATAAAGTGCAAAGGTTATATAAAGGGCCAGTGCTGAGCGTAACTCCATGACCAAATTTCTTGCAACAAAACAGTTACTCTGGCAGTAAAAACTACAGTCCCTTAGAAATGTAGCTGCATTGCCACTTTGTGATGAATAACTCATTGTAACAAGATAAATTTTTCTCATAAGACTGAATAACCTGGTGTACAAAATTTACTGAAGTTAGATCTCAACTATTCTGGCACTTTGAAACATGAACACAAAGTATCCTTCTGCAATAACTAGGTAGACGTAAAAAAAGCCTCCCTCATCTTCCCAAGAGGAAAACTCGAGTAAATGTGGCGCAGAGTGATGTGGGTATTGGGTCAATGTTGTCTAATTGGGTATGGTTTCAGAAAGCTTAACTGTTATTTTGTCTTTATTATTATTATTATTTATTAAATGAAGGAGAAGCATTGCCTTCAACGCTGATGTTGCGTTGTGCCCCGCCACTGGTTGAAGGTGGTAATGTTGCTTCCATTGCATCTACTCGAGTCAAGCAAAGCGCCAAGTCAAGCAAAAGCCAAGTAAAGTGTCCTTGACTGAATCCCAAACGCGTAATCCAGTGCCTACATATATGAAGTGGCCAGTGAACAGTTGTGAAGCGCGACCACTCGATTTATAACTAACAGACGCTGTCTGCGTTAGCCTTGCGACGCGAGAGAGAGAGAGGGGGGGGGCGAGCGACAGTTGGCATGAGACACGAACATGTGGCACAAGACGGGAGACGCGAAAATGCACAGCCGGGAATCGACGGCACCGTTGCCGCTGGATTTGCGACTTCGTGAGACTACAAAATGCTCTGCATTTAAAAAACTGAAACCATGCTTAACGTTACAACTAAAAATACATGTAATCATAAGTGTTGTAAGCCCATTTTCCTGTTATCCAACCCTGTCAAATGAATTCTCATGTTAATTATTGTAGCAACCTTGGAGTAATGAATGCATGGTTGTAGTTTTCGAAATTATTAGCATCAGTAGAAACCCAGACGCTTTACACTCTGATTCTCTGCCACCAATGGGTGCCACTTCTAAATTTAAAAGCCCTTACTATAATTAGCAAGCAATTCATGGTGCTGCGTGATGTGCCAGCCTATCACAGAGCTCTGTGTTTGAGACACTGGAAGCTTGATTTTCTGCAAAATTAATAATTACCACCTCTCGGATTCCTCAAAGTTACATAATTATATACTACACTCAAACCTCATTATAAGAAAGTTGCATCTGACACAAAAATAGGTTCGTTCTATCCCATAATTCTTTATAAATATATATATCTATTGTAAAACTATTTTTCATCGACTTTGTTATAACCGACTATTCATTATATTCGTGCTCGTTACGCAGAGGTTTGAGTGAATATTGCACTCAGGGGCATAGCTAGGGGGTGGCACACAAAGCCTGTGCCCCCCCCCCCCCTCCCCATTTTTCACCATGGCATGAAGAGCAGAAAATGTTCTTTTTAAGAAGGTGCCCTCCCGAAAAAATAAAGCCCCCCCCCCCCCCCCAATTTTTTGGTACGGCCCTCTGGTTGCATTTACTTGTTTTCCCTACCTTTTTACTATACCAAACGCATTACATTCACTATAGCAACCGACTGCATGGTAAATGAAATATTACATGCAGACAACATGCAATGTATTAACTAAATGTTTTTGCATGTAGCTGCTCTCTTTTGGAGTTCAACTATGTGCTACCAGATGGCACTACATAAATGCACAAGGCGAGCAACGATGTCTTTATATGTAGCACAGGCTACGTGTGACAACCAGAGCCAGATGAAAGCGATGAAGATGCCTTGTCAACAATAACGGTTTAATGGCATCGGAAATGACGATGTTATAATGTGACAGCATGATGACAACGACAGCAGCATTATAACAGTGCCATGAGGCATATAACAATGCCATTATAACAACGCCATGAATGCCATCTATGGCACTTTGACAAAAACATTGTACCATTGACTTATCAGACAGGTGCAGTGTTGGGCCGAGCCACGTAGCTAATGTTACATTGCGTCTTTATGTACTAACCGTTAAGCACAAAGGATAGAGGAGACTGGCACACATTTTACACTCAGATAGTTGCTATGACACATGACCAATGCATTGAACATGTTAAAGCATAAGCTGCCTGGAGGAGGGCAGAGTGGTAAGGTTGCTATCTTGAGTCATGTCATATTTTATGGTGTAATGGTACAGCATCAATCTGTTGCACTGATAGAATCTATTTTGAATTGGGGAACATGCCTTCGTCGAAGGCCTGAAATTTGGACATGCCTAGACCTACTACAGTGAGCATGGTAAAAGGCAAGGAATGTATTATGTTCAAATAGAACATAAAAAGACAACTTGCAAGCACCACAGATTGTGTTCTACCAGCAAATAGAGAGGAGGGCATATATTAGCATATAGGTGAAAAGCCTGCCATGCCAAATGAAGTGAATGTGACACAATGAAAAACAAGAACTTTCTAATGTAGTGTTGCAACACACGTAGGCTCGAAAACAAAGGTTTTACATTTGCAACACAGCTTTTAGCCTCCTATACATTGATAACAGAGCTTTCTACCATGCCCATGCTGTAAATTGTGCTAGAAAACTTTTTACTATCGGGAATGCACAGTAATAACCGTCTTGCTTGCACTGACACCCTTTCTGCTTAGTTCTGTGTTGCCTGTGTGAATGAAGGAGCTATACTAAAGCCCAGCAGCAAACATGAATATTTAGCATCAAGACTGTCTGCTCAGACCATAAAAAATTGTTGGTGCTCCTACGTGTGAATGCAATTTTTAGTATTTAAAATTACACAGTACTACACACTAGAGTGCCTGTTGAAACAGGAGCCATCGGCCTTGGGTCTATTGAATCATCAGCCTGTTATGCACATCCATTCACCACTAATGCTCGTATTCGCATGCAGATTTGAGTCACGATTAGCCATGTTTTCCCTGGTAAAACAAGGTTATACGAAGTCATATAGATTTGTACTTGTCAGTATTAGCACTTTAAACATCAAGATGACACCATATACATATGCATGAAAGTTCGTTTTCCTATAGTCTTGCCACACAAAAATTATTAGTCTGTGCCAGGCAGTGCACCTTGGCTTAGTGTTAGCATTGAGATGAGACACACACACACACCGACGTGAGTGTTCTACAATATACTAATAGCCTTTATCAATGAAGTTTCGGCTGATGCTCACATCACCTTACTTCTCCAAGAGCAGGGCCTCTCCCTAACCATATCACCTAGTAATGATTCATCACTAGTAGTGCAAAAACACACAAAGTAGATTTTAAGGCATGAAAAAAAAAAGCTATGCAAAAGGGTTCATCACCCAGAACGATGTTATTCAGGATGTGCCTTGAATCAGTCTGCAACCTAGAGCAATGCATTGGGCGTTTATAAGGAGTTACCAATGCCATCGCGTATGCTTCAGAGCCTACCATCAGCTTGTGAATTTGGTCAGCTGAAATGCAGGAGAATGTGTTCAAATGATGGCTGCTATGGTTACTGAAAGCAGGGAAACCGAATGTAGTTGCTTGAATAACTAGCAATAAGTATGTATTCTTGCAATTGAAGGGCCCAGCAACACTTTTTGAGCCTGGGCAGAAACACTGCCGATTGGTAGCTGAGGCTCTCGAGAACATGCGAGCCAAATATTATAGTGCAGCACGCGGCCTGGCGTTCACAAAAAATTCTGAAAGTCAGCGAGAAACTGCTTTCTATTCTTTGAACAAACGAGTATACACGCTCAAAAATAACTGGTCCCAACCATTGTATCGGCCATTGCCTGATTTGATCATAGTGCGAGGTTGTTACTGCGACTGCCCGCGAGGTTGTTCCCACAACTTGTACACGCGTGCGTGCGCGATCACCGCTGAACATCTGCGTACTTGGGAAAAAAAAAGTGCTCAAATTCAAAAGACGCATGTGACATATCTTCTTTCTCCATGCCATCCCTCTCTGTCTAGCTTCCAGTGCTTTTGTTGGGACGAGAAAAGAGAAAATTTAACTGCAGCGTGCGACAAACC